AATAGGAAGCAGAGGCTGGACTCGAACCCAGGCCCTCTGATGTGAGATGCATCACAAGCAGCATCTTAAACCACTGCTCTGATCACCTGCCCCTGGCTCCCCGGGGCTTCTAGACGGGTTTTAGGACGAGATCATCAAGTCCTCTCCAACCACAGCTTCCCGCCTGCCATAGCTCAGGGCTGGGATTTCACAGGCTCAGAGCTGCATCTGCACTGAGCCCAAGGAGGTGGCCAGGAGCCAGGCGGTGTCCCCCAGAGCTGGGCATGGAGCCCCCAGGCTGCCTGCCCCAGGCTCGCCTCCACACACCTCCTTCTTCCGCATGTGCCTGAGGAGGGACTTCCGGGAGGGGCCAGCTCCCTAAGGATGGCTTCTGGGAGGGCTTTCCACAGCACCCCCTTTCCTCTCCCCTCCAGGTGCTGGGACCCCGGCAGCTGCCGCCGCCGCCAAAGCAGCCGCCAAAGCTGCTCAGTTTGGTAAGTGATGCCCTGCCCCCCAGTGCACCTGCTCCCAGCCCTGGTACCAGAGCACCGTTTTCTGTGTCCCAGGCTCTGAGGTCTGCCACATTCTGGGCGTGGGCCTTCCTTACCACTCTGGGGCACATGTAGGGGTGTGACTGGGGGCGCTGTTGGGAGCATGATTATGGTTACAGGGTGAGAAGAATCCTCTGCACACCCCCCAAGCCCCTGCTGCCTCCCAGTCTCACTGACCCTGCCCCCCAGCTCACAGCCACACCAATCTTGGGAAGCTGGCGTTACTATTCCCATTTTATAGGTGTACAAACTGGGGCCCCTACAGCTTATTTACCTCGCCCACAACCACACCACTTAAAGGATTCGAACCCAGGCCCAACTGCCTGGCAAAACCCCTTTCCTACATACCCCTGCCACCTGCCCCTCTCGAAGTCTCCAGGGGGTCCCCGCCCCTCTCAAAGTTAGCAGCATCTGAAACTGCACCTGCTCGGGATTAGGTATGAAAACGCTGAAGCCCATCAAGGCCAAGTAGCAGGTTCAAGGTCACACAGGGAGTCTGGGCCAGGGCTGTCATGAGAACCCCATCTCCCGGCTCCCAGCCCTGTGCTCCGCCTGTCAGCTTCGCCCTCACTGGCTGGGCCTTGCTTAGGGACTGACTGTTCTCACTTCTGCAGGGTTAGGCCCTGGTGTCGGCGGGGTTCCCGGAGTCGGCGGGGTTCCCGGTGTCGGCCCTGGGATCGGCGGAGTTCCTGGCGTTGTCCCTGGCGGCATCGGCCCTGGGGTGGCAGGAGTTCCTGGTGAGCCGCGGGGGCGGGCGGGCTTGAGGGACCCCTGGATCCTCTCTGTTGGATCCCGTCCGTGAGCGCCCTCTCTCCCTCCAGGAGTGGGGACCCCAGCTGCGGCCAAGTCTGCTGCGAAGGCAGCTGCCAAGGCTCAGTACCGTGAGTGCCCTTTCTGCCTCTCCGCCTCCTCCCCCACCAAGCCCAGGGCTGCCCCGGCACCCCCAGACTGCAGCGGGCCCCAAGGATTCACCCGAGCCTCATAAGACACCCCCAAGGCAGCAGGCAGAGGGGTCGGAAGCACACGCGTGGTGCAGAGAGACCAGATTTGAGTCCTGGGTCTCCCCACCGACCAGCGGCCCTTCCCTTGGACATCACAGTTGCAAAAGCTGCCCAAGGGCATGAGAGACACTGAGAGAGGGAGGTGGCGTCCACAGTGGGCTCCAATGCCAGCCTGGGGCCAGAGGGGAGCGGGGCCGGACTGTGTGGGCATGGAGAACAGGGATGGAGCTGGCCTAGTGTGGAGCCGGGTGCAAAGGCGTGGAGGAAGCTGCTGGCTGCTCCCGCCTGGGCCCCTCCCCTCGGGGCCCGAGTCAGCTCCTAGCAGAGGCCACCTCCACAGGGTGGGCTCCCTCTCTGCGGACGCCACCCCACTGCCCCCCACTCTCTGTAGGGGCCGCTGCCGGGCTTGGTGCTGGCGTGCCTGGGCTTGGAGTTGGTGCTGGCGTGCCTGGGCTTGGAGTTGGTGCTGGCGTGCCTGGGCTTGGAGTTGGTGCTGGTGTGCCTGGCTTCGGGGCAGGTGCAGGTGAGGGGCCTTCTTGGGCCTGGGCGGAGACCGTACCCTGAGTACAGGAGTACCCGGAGTACCCCTGCTCCTCCCACAGCATCGCCTCCACTGGTCCCCTTTACCACCCAGGGGTGCACAGTGAATTCCCCATTAGCTTTCCCTGAGTACTCAGAGACACGTGGGCTAACAGGCTGGGGGCGGGGGGAGGATGGGCCAGGGGACCCCCAAATGCCAGATTCCAGAGTGTCTCCCTCCCTGGTGGAGGGGTGACCAGGCTCCAAACTCCGCAAAAGCCCACCTGCCAGGCAGGGAAGAAGGCTGGGGGGTCCCTAGGGCCAGGGTAAACTGGTCTAGTACCTCTTCGGCGATGCCCTCACCATGTGGTTACCGGGCCCCACCCAACCTCAGGCAGGCTCCTTCTAGAGGGGACAGGAAAGGCTGGGTAGAATGAGGAAGCTCGAGTGAGGGAGAAGGACTCCGTCTCTGGCAGCTCCCGACGGAGCAGTCACGGGATCAAGGACTGGAGGAAGCAACGGAGGCTGAGGAAATCAGGCAGGGCTCCCTGGAGGAGGCAGCAGAACCCCAAGGCCCAGAGCTCAGCCGCTGACCCTGCTCTGTTTCCCTTCCCCCTTCCAGTGCCTGGGTCCCTGGCTGCAGCTAAGGCAGCGAAATACGGTGAGTGCAGCATCCCCGCCGCCCGCGGTCACCTTGGGCACCGGCAGGCTTGGTCAGGACAGGGAAAGTCCACTTGTAGGGCCGTCACAGACTGGCTGCTGCTACTAAATGCCTGTGGTGCCTCTGCAGACCCCCAGGGGAGCAGCTGCACCCTGCCGAGAACCCCAGAAGGGGCCCCTGCCTCCCCGCCACGCCCTTGGCCCCTGCTGCCCGCCTTCCAGACAGCCTGGGCTGAGCCAGCCCAGGGACGTGGCACTCTGGCGGCCCCGCCTGGCCAGCTCCGCACCCGCCCGGCCCCACATTCCAGGGGTCTGCCAAGCAGCCTGGCTGGTCCACTTGGGGCCAGTTTCCACTTCGGAAAAACCCCGGGCTTTCTCAGCCCCCGCCCCCAGTGGCCGGGAACCCGCGGCCCCCTCTGCCCTTCCTTGCTGGCTGCTGGGCCGGGCCTGACTCAGCAGCCACTTTTTCAGGGAGGCTACGTGGTGCGGCGCAGCGGAGAGGCTGAGGGTGCTGGCTCCGGAGCCGGCCTCCAGCACGTGCTCTGCTCTGCCTCAGTTTTCCCGTCTGCAAAATGGGGGTGGTGAAAGTCCTAGCTTTCCCCTTGCAATGCCCAACAAATGGGCTGAATGGCAGCGCAGCAGTTTTGTGCAGCAATTAAAGGACTTCGTGTCGGAGTGCCCGGGTTCAAATCCCCACTCCACTTCCCACCGGCTTCTTCCTACGGCACATCCTGGGACGCAGCAGGTGACGGCTCAAATGCTTGGGTCCCTGGCACCCCCATGAGAGACCTGGATGGAGTTTTGAGCTCCTGGCTTCTGCCTGATCCACCCCCCAGCTGCTGTGGGCATCTGGGGAGTAAACCATGGGGTGGAAGATCTCTCTCTCTCTCTCTCTTACTGGCTTGCTCTCTGTTATTCTGCCTTTCAAACAATTTTTTTTTTAAATAGCAGCAAAGGGGACTGGTACTATGCCGTAGTGGGCTAAGCCTCCACTTACGTCACCAGCATCCCATGGGCGCCGATTCGAGACCCAGCTGCTCCACTTCTGAGCCAGCTCCTTGCTGATGCACCTGGGAAAAGCCGTCAGACCCTGAGACAGGGGTCCACACCTTCCTGTGTTAGGGACGGGAAGGCCAAGGCCTAAGGGAGATGGCCCTTGCCTGATTGCCAAGGGCACAGCCAGGTGTTCTAGAAAGGACCTCCTGGGCGGCGCCCCTGCTCTGGGTCTGGGTGTCCCTCCATCCTTCCACCCTCTCTCCACAGGAGCGGGAGGCGTGCCTGGAGCTCTCGGCGTGCCCGGGGGTCTCGGCGTGCCCGGGGGTCTCGGCGTGCCTGGGGGGCTGGGTGGAGCAGGTGTCCCAGGTGCAGTAGGTGAGTTGGAACCCCCAGGGTGGGCGTGGCTGGGAGGGGGGAGAGGGAGGGTCCTGAGCCCTGTGGAGCACCCCTCCCTGAGCTCCCTCTCTGTCCCCAGATGCTGGACCTGCTGCAGCCGCTGCCGCAGCCAAAGCGGCAGCCAAAGCTTCCCAGTTTGGTGGGTACTGCAGGGTTGGGGAGGGGGAGGCCGCTAGACCCGAGGCTTGGGGGGATCCTCTTCCAAGTGTCAAAGACTTGGATTTCCAGACCTGTCCAGGGCCCTCCAGGGAGCCCCTGTTCTGCCTGGGTCGGAGTGGGGTGGGTGGAGGGTGACACCTGCCCCTTCCACACACTCCAACCAGCGGGAGCTGACACATGGCTCTCTCCGCAGGCCTAGGGGGACCTGGAGGGCTCGGAGCTGGGCTCGGGGCTGGTGGAGCCATCCCAGGAGCCGGGGCCTTTGGAGGTGAGGCTGCTCCCGAAGCAGTGAGTGAGTGAGCCAGAGTCGGGCTCAGGACCTCCCTTTCCCACCCCCTCTGCCTCCAGCCTTCAGGGTGGCCAGCACAAGCTAGCCAGGGTCATACGCCTCCCTCTCTTTGCTCTCTCGATCCACCTGAGCCCGGCTGGCAGGTGCAAGGCGACCGGGATCCCAGCAGTTAGGCCCCTTGTCAAGAAAGGGAGAGTAAATAAATCTCTCTCTCAACATCTCCACCATGGAGGCGGGCCATGTGCTGACTCCGCCCCCTCTCCCTCGAGTGCTCACCTGACCTAAAACCAGGCCCCCTCTCTACCTCACCCCACTCCGTGTGCACCCCCAAGAGCAGACACATAGTAGAGCTCCATAAAGACTCTTGGAGAGATGGGTGGATGAAGGCGTGGCGGGGTGGGGCCAGCACGGCTTAGCGGGGCAGCTGGCTCAAGGTGGGTGGGGGAGAAGCCAGGGCCTGGCTCTGGGCACCAGGGGACACTCCTCAGTGCCTCTGCATCCCTTTCTCCAGGTGTGTCTCCAGCTGCAGCTGCTAAGGCAGCCAAATACGGTGAGTCCACCCCCAGCCCCTCCCACCCCTGTGGGGCCCCGAATGTCCCTGACCCCAGAACCTAAAGGGGAAGTCAGCGCCCTTCCACTGGGCCTTGTCCTGACCGCCATCCACCCTCTCTCCAGGTGCTGCTGGCCTTGGAGGCGTCCTTGGAGGCACCAGGCCATTCCCAGGAGGTAGGAGCCAACTCCACCTTGCAACCCTCAGGAGACGCCAGGGTTGGGGCCGGGCCAGGTGGAGCTCAGAGCTGAGGCTACACAGGTCGCCACACCCAGTGCTAGGTGCTGACAGACTTTGTTAAGAAAGCATTCAACCTAGCGGCCGGAACTGCCCATATCAGAGTGTCTGGGTTCAAATCCCGGCTCTGTTCCCAGTGCCAGCTTCCTGCAGGTGCAGACCCTGGGAGGCAGCAGGTAACAGCCCAAGTGCTTGGGTCCCTGTGGCCCACGTGGGAGACGTGGAGTTCCCGGCTCCTGCCTTCAACCTGGTACAGCTCTAGCTGTTGTAGGCATTTGGGGAGTGAGAGTGACCCAAATAGGAGCTCTCTGTCTGTCTGTCTGCCTCTCGAATTAAAAGAGAGAGGAAGCAAGCTGCCCTGAGCCCAGTGGGGGGCTGGGGTCCAGACAGAGGCTCAGAGAGGCCAGTGCTGGGCCCAGCGGGGGTGATGGGGCCAGCGGGAGGCCTGGTCCCCACTCCACTGGCTCCCCTCCCCCGCAGGAGTCGCAGCGCGCCCTGGCTTCGGACTGTCTCCCATTTACCCAGGTACGCCCAGGCTCACTGCCCCTGGCCCCGACCTCAGCCCTGGCCACTCCTCCCCCCCACCCATCTCCTGCCCAGAATGGCTGAGCCAGCACCCAGGGGTGGGGCCCACGACCTCAGGGTCTGAGACTCATTTCGTGTTTCTTAAAGCTCCCAGGGGACAGGTAGCTTCACCACACGGTTCCCCAGGAGGCAGACAGGGATGGGGGGGGGGACCAGGGGCTGCTCCAAGGTCACACACTGAGCCAAGGACTCTAAATAGTAGCCTGCTTACCCTGGCTTGGGGCTGGGCCCATGCCGTGCTGGGGGGCTTGGTAGACAGGGGCATGGGGGCGCATGCTCACAGCCTCTCCCCTTGCCTTGCAGGTGGCGGTGCTGGGGGCCTGGGAGTCGGTGGTGAGTGTGAAATAAGAAGGCATCCCAGGCCCGGAGGGGCATGGCCATGGCTGTGACCGTGGCTGTGGCCGTGGCCGTGGGTGGTGGTTGTGGGCTGGTCCTGGATGGAGCCCCAGGGGCAGCTGTTGGAGCTGGACGTTCAACCCTGGGGTATGGGGCCAGGGGTCCTGGGCCCTGATTCCTGGGGCTCCCAGCCTGGCTCTTCAGGAGGCACTGAGAGCAGGACAGACTTGGGTACCTGGGGCTTGGAATCTGCCTGGAGAGACTGACCTTGCAAATGGCCGTGAACCATGGAAAGGATGAGCCATCAGGGCAAGTGGGCGGGCAGGGGCCAGGCAGGGGAGGGTATACCCAGATGGACCAGGCTGAGACCAGGCAGTGCGTGGGTTCCGAACCATAGTGGGCGGGCCCCCGCCCACGGCTGCCCTCCCCTCCACAGGCAAACCCCCCAAGCCTTACGGAGGGGCTCTGGGAGCACTTGGATATCAAGGTGAGTTGAATCCAAGCCCCTGGAAGAGGCAGAGGCGAGGCGTGGGGGTAGGGTCCCCCAGCCCTGGGCCTCGGAGGGAGTGGGGAAGTTGTGGAGAGCTGGATGCCCCCAGCTTACACCCCACTTATGAGACAGCTAAGGCCGGGGGTGGGGAGGGCAGGGGCCTGGCACCAGCCAACAGCCAACGCCTGTGGTCTCAGCGCGGGGCTTTCCAGCCACCCACGCTGGGCTTCAGCCGCTAGATGCCCCGCTCATCAGCTCACTGCCACCAGGTGGCGGTAGTGAGCCACATGTCCTTCCCGGAGGCAGGGCGCTCAAACCCGAGTCCCCCTTTCTGCAGTCCCGTAATAGTTTGAACGAGAGCCTGCCTAGGAAGCGCCAGGAATCCAGGGTTCGAGTCCTGGCTAGACCACTGGCTATGTGGCTAAGAGTCTCTCTCCCTCTCTCTGGGCCTCGGTTTCCTTGACCGGTGCCGGCTCACCCTTCTCCCTAAGGGGGCCACCCTTGCAAACACTGTCACCACCCCCAACTTGCCCTACTTCCTGGTGGGGGATGGGCACTGCCCTGGGCCCCTCTCTGCAGGGATCCCAGAAGCAGTGAACTCAGAGTTCGAGGGCGGGGCCGGGGGGGGTGTCCCTTGTCCAGGCTGGGTCCCTCCCCAGCCTCTGAGCCTCCCCCCCTCCATCCTGGAAATCTGAGGCCCTGCTCCCACCCTCCCTCCCAGGTGGGGCTTGCCTGGGGAAATCTTGTGGCCGGAAGAGGAAGTGAGCCTCCCGGGACCCCTGACTTGCGACCTCATCAACGTTGGTGCTACTGCTTGGTGGAGAATGTAAACCCTTTGTGACCCCTTCCCCAAACCCCCTCCTCATCCCCAACCCCGGGAGGGGCCGGGCAGGGCCGGCTGGGCGGCCTTGGGAACCCACAGGGCATGGGAACGGAGCGCAGAAGCC